ATCAGCAACAGCATCAGCAACAGCAACAGCATCAGCATCAGCATCAGCATCAGCATCAGCATCAGCATCAGCATCAGCATCAGCATCAGCAACAATAAGCGATATCAGTTTTGGAAAGCGCAATGGGGGTAGTATTATAGTGATAACGACAGTGTTCATAGCGACTAAGGTAAGAGCAATCGCATTGGCAATGACATTCATAGCGTTGATACTTGCAATAAGAATAGAAATGATAGATACTGATAAAGATACAGATGCTGATGCAAAAAAGCCTTGCAGCCTTGGTTTTCCTACAGGCGGCGACCTCCAAGGCCGCCGTTGTCAAGGTGGGACTCGAGGAAGACTCAGGCTTTCGTGTGGCCTTGGGGCTTGTTGCGGTTTCGGGTTTAGGGTTGGGCTTCTTTGGGTTCGTTGGGAATAGGGACTTGTGAGGTCTGGTTCAGTGTTGGGGAGCGAGCTGGTTTGGAATCTTTGAGTTTCGGGGTCAGGATTCTGGTGTGCGGGTTGTACCTGCTAAGTAGCTTAGTCATTCAGGGCTTTCAGGGGTGGGCTGTGGGGCCGGTGTGGGCCTGGGATTAACCGTTCTAATCACACCAACTGCAGGGTTTTGGGTCTAGTTGGGGTTGGTATGTTGAAGGCTTGGACTTTTGGGTGTGGGCCAAGGTTTACCAATTTGAATTCAGCCTTACGGCTGGCTCAAGAGAGGTTATCATGGAATCCCCAATCTGGAAGATTAAATTGAATGCTCCCCCCAGGCAATGCCGAAGGCCCCAGCTGAGGGCAAGGCGGGAACGTGTTCACATCATGACATGAAGGTATCAAAGGTCTTAGTGTCGAAGGTGCTGCCTCGCAGCGTTGTCTGTATGCTTGATTGAGTTGCGTGACGAAGGTGAATAATTTCTGATGAAGCATGCTTCGGAAGACTTCAGAGGCTGCGAGATTCTGCAACAGGAGTTTATCCTGCCTTGCGCAGGGTTCGTAAGGTGTCAGAGCCGAAACAGCTTTCAACCACATGTCGGCTTCAGCGGTTTGAGACTTAGGATTCCAGCTGGTCTGACACCTTCACGATCTGCATATCTGTTATCATGGTTGACAGGTCTTAGAGTAGATCCTGCATGCTGTCCCGTCTCATCTTGCGCGGCGCCCTCCAAAACTGCTCGGCGAAACGCCCGGGCATCCGTCAGGCCGTGGCTACCCCGGCCCAGGCGGCGGCAGAGCCCCAGGCCGGAAATCAGGAATAGCCATAGTGGCCTCACCCGGACCGAGAGGTTATGAATGGTTATGAACATCATAGCTTAACATACTATGCTATAGGGGTCTGAGGACAGTGATAAGCCCAAAAGGTTCCTAGAGGCCCGAAGCGCGAAACGTCCGAATTTCTCATGCTGCCGAAAGGGGAGGGGGTCGTGGTTGGCCAATCTCAGCGTAAATGTTCGGAGTCAAGGACGTTTAAGGGCTTTCGGTTGCTGGCAGTCGGCTGCGAATGGTGACGTTCTCAACTGCACGTCTCAAAGTTGCGTACAGAACCGAGATTTGGAATCCTGTGCTTGTTCTTCCCACCTACGCCACCTGAGCCCATTGCCATCTCAAAGCTTCGCAACACATGAGATGCCTTCGACTCGACCAGGCTGTTGCGGCCCAGGCCAAGGCCAAGGTACATCCACATGAAGCTGTCGATTGATTGCAGGGTTGGAGAAGGTCAACAGGGCCGTGGCCTTTAAGATGGACTCGAGCAATCTTAGCACCTTTCAATTCCACCATAGCCTTAAAAAATAAGACCCTAACGCCCTTCACCCCAAAAGCCTAAAGCCTTGAGCTTTAAAGCATTATACCCTAGGTAAGTGAAAGCAAAAGACAGCACCGCGATCGATACCACAAATACGGATGGTTTCAGAACATTCATTTCTTACCCTACAGGGTCCTTATAAGAAGCTTCCTCCTATCTGCGGAAGCGGACTCGTGAAGATCCGGTGTACTTATCAAAAAAGGTCTGTGTAACAAGCGTTCTACGGCATCAAGCCTGAAGCGTACTGGGCCAGCTTTGCATTGGTTTGAGGGAATTGGGCTTTGAGGGGCTCACTGCAGCCTGGTCAAAGCCAAAGTACGCTTCCTGAAAGAAGAAGAAGAGCTACGTGAATCCTAAACTCAGCGGCAGCCGGTCATGTTGTCATAGGACTTCTCTCAAGAAAGGTCCCTTCAAGTCTCTGAATCTGAACAAGAGAGCAAGTTCTATAGAAGCAAGTTCAACCTTGAGTTACCTGGAAGCCGCCCTACCCCAAACCCTTAAAGCCGTGTCGTCTTTTCAGGCTTCTCCGGCCAAAGCCAAGGCAGACTCACAGGCAGCGCTTTTGGGTTTTCATCGCTTCCTCTGGGCTTCGGGTTTTTGTTGCTCCTGGCCCGCTCTGAAACCCCCTGGGCTTTCTGAGTTTAAGTTGTGCAAGTAAGGCTTGAGTAAGGCTAGGTGTGGTGATTTGGCATGCGGTCTCCGAATGCCGTGGGTCCAAAAGCCTCACGCCGGTTGCTTTTCGAGGTCCTGGGCCGGGTGGTTAGCCCCGAACTTGAGGCTATATAGAATATTATATATATATATACACACTATAACATAATATTATATATATATATATATATATATATATACATATATATATATATATATATGTATAACTCTCGCACAGTTGGCCTGTCCGGCAGGCCTCAAAGAGCAAGGCCGGAAAGCCCTCTCAGGCGCAGGCGCATGAAGCATCGCATGGGGATCTCCTCGAGACGGTTTAGGGTTTAGGGTTTAGGGGGCTTTTCGGCGGAGGTTTAGGGCTTGCTAAAGGGAATGGGAAGAGGGGTATAGGGCTAGCAATCTATTGCTTGGGTCGTGCAGTCTAGAATGCAGCTCCCCGATTGCAACCATAGCACACACCTCAACCATCTACGTAACTTCAGGCTCATCTTTGCAGCCTTACCTTCAGTGCTTTCGGTGAAGGCCCGAAGCCTTCTAGGATCTTGGGACCTGCAGTCTGAAAGGCTGAGGGCCTCAGGGTGGTGGTTTCTGTGACCTGGAAGGGCTCAGGGCCATGCTGGCGATAGCTTGCCGCCCTTGAAAGATGTGTTGAGGGTTTAGGGTTTAGGGTTTAGGGTTTAGGGTTGAGGTTCTGCCACGTCCTGAGACTCGGTTAGAGGATCCGAAGCTTGGTGCTTGGTGCCACTTCCGACATGTTGTGGAACAAGCCGGGATCCGCTGAAGTGTTGGTCTGATATACTCTTGAAGTAAAGGGTCTTAATCCCTTCAACCTCGAACCGACTGGAGCCCTTTGTCAAACAAGCTTGGCAGCAGGAGCTTAGAGCGAAACTGGCGGCTTTGAAAGCAAAGGCCAGCCCTGTTCCAGAAGGGTTGGGAATCAGGTGTACAGAGTGGGCTTGTGCTGTTCAAGACCCGCAGATGTATTCTGATAGATGCAGGTACAGTGAGTGACATTCGTTCTGGTTTGGTAGAAGACGACGGAACAGCAACCTTGACATGTTCGGGTTTGGAGGCGATACTGGGCTGCGGGCTTGCTTGGGATGCTCAAAAACACATGTTGCAACCATTCAAGGTCGTTTGCATTGCGGAGCTAAAAGATCCAACTCATTGCATCCAGTGCCGGAGATCACAGGGCAAGAACGCAATAGCAATTGCTCCCGGATCCTCGGGAGAAAGGTGTGAATACTGGAATAGAAAGTCATTGGAGGGAGACGTCGAAATTTCTTTCTGTCTCCCACAATCACTACCTTCCATCATCTCTATATTGATGGCTGCTCAAGGCCGTGGGAAGTGTAACCAGCTCAGAAACAGAAAGTAAGGCTAGTTTTATAGTTGAGAGGTAGAGCCGTAAGTTGAAACAGGCGGAGATTAAATCTTGCGGGCTCATGCCCCAATGTGAGAGACAGCCTTGAAACGCGACGTATCGTCTTCATCTTTTTTGCCCGTCGGTGGCAGGCTGCTAAGTTAGAGCAGATCGCGATCCTCCGCGCATGGCCGAGTGCTGCAGGGATTGAGGTTTCAAGGTTGCTTTGCGCTTGCCGGTAAGGAGCCATGCTCCTTGATCCTTCAGTCCGGCTTCTGCCACTCGACCCAGCTCCAGAATATGCTAATGCGCATGAAAACTCTTGCAATTGCAATTGATTGGATGTTTGGTGGTTTCGCATGCATTCGGCTTGTCATATTTAGATGTATCTAGCGAGTCTGACGCTCCTCCCCGGCATCGCTGGCAGAGATCCAGCGCGCTTCCACTCCGGTAAAACATCAGAAAGCTCCGCCTCCGATTGTAGACGGTCACTCCCCAAAAGCCTAGCACACCCCGACCGAAACCCATGTTGGGAGGCTGCTCCGAAGTCGATACAGTATCAAGTTTGAAGACCATATACTTACAGGTTTTAAACTCTGTTTAAGGGTTCAGGAAAAAGTCATCTCTCGTAACTGGCATCCACTCTGAGGCGAAGAGAAGGCGCGTCTGGCCCAAACTCAGAAGGAGCCAACTGCTCAGACGAAGTGAGGGACCCTTTTCTAGACCCAAATCCTATCAATGTAGACTTAGTAGGATCCTTATTGCAAGAACCCCTAAATTAGATGCCCCTGAGTTTAAAGACAGCCAATGTCTGGAATGCCATTTCTGTTTGTACGTCAAGCCCCAGACCCTGTTCGTGTTTTTACTCGTGTGATGTGTCCATGGGTTTTTTTCTGAAGCCTTGGGTTTCTTGGAGTTTTCAGATGGCCTGTAGCATTCAAGCTTTATGGTTTGGGGCCTATTTCAGGCTCAGGACATTGGGGGGTATGGAATTTTTGAAGGCGTAGTTGGGAGTGGTTGGTCTTCTGCTTTGCTGATGGGTCGGGCTTTTGCTCTTCGTGTATCATGGTTAGGGTTTAAGGATGGGTTTTAGGGTGAAGCTCCTCAGCGCCCGCAGTGTTTCTTGAAGCATTGCAGATATCGGTGTTCCAAAGCCGTTTTGAGCTCCGAAGGCTGCACCGCCATTGAGTTTTGCCACAGGCTCTATGCTGCGGAATCCCTGGCTAAACGATTTGGTCAGGGTTTGGGGTTCACACCCAGCCGTCCAAGGTTGGAGGCGAAAACGGCCGCCCTGGTCGCAGACTTCACGCCGAGGTGCTGCAGCCCTGAAAGACCTGACGTCTCATTCCTTGAGCTTTATGCATTTTCCTAAGCTGCCAGAAGACTCCAGATCTCCAGCACGTCTACCCAGACCCTGGTAATTCGCACTTAGTTGCTGTTGTAGGTGCCTGGGAAGTAGTCCGTGTAACACTAGATTATTGGAGGGGCTTCAGCGGCAGTCGGGGGTAGGCAGAAACAAGTTCAGGCGCCGGTGAGATATCCTTTTAGCTGTGTTCCTGGAGACTTTGGCTTCCGAAGAGCTTGGTACCTTTTCTCACTCTGTGGGAAGTTCCTTTTCGTTTTAGATGTGGGTGCTATATTCGGTTGGGGCCTTAGAGGTCTTGGGCTGAAGGGGCGGAGCTCGCTTGCTGCAAGGAAAATGCCAAAAACACCCAAAGCCGCCGCAAAGGCCGGGCACTGGCTAACTCGCAGGTCTCCTCGCTCGAACTTCGGATGTAGTAATGTAGCAATATTATAGTATAATACTACAGTAATATAGTACCTGAGCCCCAAAGCCCAAACACTCACTTTTTCCGAAGGAAGGCTGGTCTTCAGGTGGCAGTGACCTCATGACCCGCCTGTGTACCAAACTAACTAATTAAGGGTTCTCGTCAATCAAGTTTCATGTTGGTAACCATGTTGGGAGCATCCTGCTTCCTCACGAAAGCAAGCCCCGGGTTTGCTACTTCGGGTCTGAGGTTGAGAAGACTAGGGGCTATGCGTGTTTGCGTATGTGTGTA